AAGCTTATTTGGTAGCAAACTCAATTTGGTACTGGCAAGGTGGCTTTATATACGCACGAGCGCACTTTGGATGTGACTGCGCACCGCCTCTGGAGCGCGCGAGTACCGAATGGCTAAAAAAGACATGCAAATAAATAATACATTTTTGTGACAATGCAACAATGACCCGATTAGGCAAGTGACAAATCGGTCAACTGTCCCGAAATGAGAGTGAAAGTCTTGTATCGCAGCGTGCAGCGGCTCTTGTTGCGCAGACAAGCTGCGCCGATGTGAAGCCGTTTGAAGAGAAAGTCAAAGAGAAAAGATGCGGTACAGCTGAATCACTCACGCTATTTTCAAATGACTGATTTGATCAGTCTGTGTGGATTTATTTACTCATCAAACCTACATGCTATAGGCTATTGAATAAACGTGTGAATATCCATCATTTTAAAGTCAAAAGCTGCGGGAATGAGTAAAACTATGCGATATAGCCTATGCGCAATCCCGCACCGAAATTCAGGACCTGATTAAACAATTCTATTATACAGAGTTTTGTGAAACAGATTTCCATGACTTTTCCAAAACTTTCTGGGTTTATTTATTTTTCCAAAACTTTTCCAGCCCTGGAAATTGCTGTTTTAAAATTCCATGACTTTTCCAGGTTTTTCATGACAGTACGAACCCTGGTAATTGAGTCCTCCCGGATGCAATTCAAAAGAAGACGACACACGGCGCTTATGAGAGGAGTGTAAGCGCAGCCAAACCAGACGCTGCTGACAGTGGCATATGAATACGTAAATATGTGCTGCACGCTTTCCTCTCAATAATGAAATAAACACGCAACAAATATGACAGTGGTGAGAAAACAGCAGTTAAGAAAGTATCTGATCATAGCGATGTGGATAAGTTTGCACCAGCTCTGCAATCGGCACTCCAGTCACGTCACGTCACATTGATTTATTTAGCACTTAGATCGATGATAAAATGATAATGATAAAATCTTTTTATTAGTGAATGCAAAAATAAATAATTGAAATAAATAAATTTTAAAAATCATATTATTACATTAAAGTGATAGTTTGGTTTGAATATATTAAAGCCTAATCTAGCTATACACTATAAGGTGTTTTAAGAGAGCTAATGTTTTGAATAAAATAATTTATCTAAAAATAAAATGTCTTATCACTTACCTTTATTTTGTTCCTTATCCATGTGACTTACAAAAGATGTTAGGCAGAATGATGCATCAGTCAGTTACTTTTTCATACAGTTAATTAAATAGTGAATGAGAAAGTCTCTTTGTCTGTCATCGCATTTTTTGTGCCAAATATATTTATTTGTATTGTAAAAAATAATTGTATAATAATTGTAATTTTACAGTAGTAATATAATTGTTTGACATTTTCAAAAGCTGAAGTGATTACCTTGTTTTTTTTTATTAGTTAGAATGTGTGTAACTCAATATTTTAACATTGTAAAAGCTGGATAATAGAACAAAGCCTACTGATTAATCTGTGATAAGTCTATTACAGTTTTTCTCGATTGCTAAAACACTATAACCAGGCTTTTGAACTAAAATTTCAAAACCATAACGCCATTTTTCAAAAAGCACACCCATTTTGCTGAACTATAAACACTATTGAGGGGAAGTCGTGGCCTAATGGTTAGAGAGTCCGGTTAGAGAGTCCGACCTAACCCAAAGGTTGCGGGTTCGAGTCTCGTACCGGCAGGGATTGTAGGTGGGGGGAGTGAATGTACAGCGCTCTCTCCCACCTTCAATACCACGACTGAGGTGCCCTTGAGCAAGGCACCGAACCCCCAACTGCTCCCCGGGCGCCGCAGCAAAAAATGGCTGCCCACTGCTCCAGGTGTGTGTTCACGGTGTGTGTGTGTGTTCACTACTGTGTGTGTGCACTTTGGATGGGATAAATGCAGAGCACTAATTCCGAGTATGGGTCACCATACTTGGCCACATGTCACTTCACTTCACTTCACTATTCCCCTGCTTTAACATATGAGTCAGATTTGGTGAACTGTTACTGCAAAACTCTACACACAAATCCCTACATTTCTCAGTGTTTACACCATGTGGTCATTTAGAAAGCACTAGCATTCAATACTGTTCACTCAAGTCAGCACATTTTGTTTTTTTGTTTTTTTTTTTACAGTTGTGCTGTGTAGTACATGAATGAATAAAAATGTGCCAATGTATACATTGGTTGTGTCTTTTGTGTTCATGTGAAAAGGTTTTTGAGGGGGAGAACCACAAGCAACATAACTTACCAGTTTTGGATATATTGTTTTGAATTTATTGCACCAGTGTGTAATACTATGTCGTAGTGTGTGTTTTTTTGAAAGCTTGTGTGTGATGTCTGAGGGAAAAGTTTGGTTTTTCAGCAAGAGTGAATGGTGAGCTTCATTTTGACCTGAAAATAGGATGTTTGGGGAATTGGGTGAGACGTTATGGATTTGTGTTTACTGTTTTGAGAATACGACGCATAGTTTCAAGAAATGTGTTTAAGCAATCGAGAAAAACTGTAATTGTTGTAATAATTGTTAGAGTAATCGATTATCCAAATAATCGTTTGTTGCAGCCCTAGTTTTTAGTGGTATTTTGGTTCTCTTTTTTAGGCTTGACAGTCTAAGGTCTCATTCATTTTTATTTTATGGAAAAGGTATTTGTTATAAATATTTTTAGGTATTTTCTCTGCTGCATAGAATAGATTTAGAATATTTTCTGTAAGGCTGCATTGTAACAACATGTATTGTGACGGGCGCTATACAAATAAACTTGAACTGAACTGAATATGTCATGTTGAGCCAAATTGACACATTTTTAAATATATTTAACATTTTTAAAAATAAAATATTTAATGTTAACGCAATTTTTTTTTTTACTTTTTAAAGCTTTGTGTTTTTTCTTTCAATTGTCTTATTCTCATTTTCATATGTTACAATTCAAAAGTTTGGGGTCAGTAAGATTTATCTGCATTGAAGGCTGCATTTATTAAATCAAAAATATAAAAATAGTCATTTTCAGTATCACATGATACTTCAGATATCATTCTAATATGCTAATTTGGTGCTCAAAAACATTTCTTATTATTATTATTTGTAACAATGTAAAAGTCTTTATTATCACTTATTTAATACATCCTTTCTGAATAAAATATTTCTTCAATAAAAAAATAAAAAATCATACGGACCCCAAATTTTTAAATAGTAGCATATGTTGCTGATATGTTTAATGGCAGGTTCTACTGTTTATGGGTGAACAATCCCTTTAAGAGTTGCACTGAGTCTGATACATGATCAGCAGTGACCAACAGTCAGAGTCAGCATTAAGCTTTTAAACAAGGTGCTACTCCAGCATTTAAATGATGATTGAGGCTCCTGTAGTCCCTCTGATGTCACAGCTGACATGATCCTGCTGTAATTAACTTCATACAAACTGAAGCAGTCCAGCAGCATACACTGGCTCTGCATTCAATCTCACCGCCACAATAAATCTACAGACATACAGTTCACTGGTCTTTAGAGCAATGTGCACTGTATCTGCACACTATCCATGCTGTCACAACCCAGATATATGCATCTGACTATAAATAACCTGATACTTACAGTTTTCAAACAATATAACACTAAAACATCTCGTTTTGCACCACAAAATATTCTTGGAGTGAGGAAAGAGACAGTTGTGCATAATTTAGATGCCTTTCAAGAAGAGGTTCTTACCTGTGGGATCAAACTCATGCGAGGAGGGGACTGACGCCTTGTCGCTTTTGGGCTTTTTGTCTGGGGGATGGTCCTTGCTGAGAATACTTCCTGTCCTGTGCACAAATACACACAAACGGGAAAAAGGGTCACCGTCTCTGCCACATCATGCTATTCTTATCCAGCAGCACACACAAACTAGACAGGAAATGTGGATCCACTTACAAAAGGTCACACTCGTGCCCCCCATCCAAAAACAGGCCCCGAGAGAGCAGACAAAACATTTCAGACCAACACAATGCAAACTACTGTTGACTGTGAATTTGATGGTTACAAAGAACTATCATGACTAGGGATGGGTCAGGATGATTGACTAGTCACCCATTAACCAAATTTTAAATTTAGCTATAATATGGTACTTTAAAAGAGGATGAATTTAAAGATGACACTTCCCCGACCAGACTTTAGCACGCTGAAGATAACTGTCTACAAGTATGTAAAACTTGAGTTAATGCTGTGGATCTGAGCGTTTTATTATCACATGTTCATATCAGTGGCAGCATCAGTGTTGTGTCTACGCTCAATCTGCTCATATCGCTGTCTGCTGAAAACTGCCATTAGCTGCCTGTCTGGCTGCCGTGCTTCTCTCTGGGGCTATGAGGGCGTTTCACTAGGAAAGAGCAACAGGAAGGAGGTGCTGCACTCACCTGCTCGCTTTTTTGGGAAACCTGAAAGACAAAGGAAGTTTTTTTTAGAAAAGATGTTTGAAAAAATATGCTAATAAAGACTAACAATAGTCATTTGATTTTCATAGCACACTACCATTCAAAAGGTTGACAGGATATATATTTTTTTTAACAGTGATAAGGTTTAAAAATAAGTCTCAAAGAGCACCAAGTCTGCATTTATTTAATAAAAAATACAGTAAAAACGGTAATATTGGGAAATATTATTATAGTTTAAAATTATGATTTTCTATGTGAATATATTTTAACATGTAATTTATGATTCATGATAACCTGCTAAAGAAACATTTCTTATGTTGAAAATTTCGGTAACACTTTACAATAAGGTTCTATTAGTTAATGTTAGTTCATGTATCAACTAACATGAACAAACAATGAACAATATGTTTGTTATAGTATTTATTCATCTTTGTCAATGTTAGTTAATGAAAATACAGCCGTTCATTGTTAGTTCACAGTGCATTAACTAATGTTAACAAGCACAACTTTTGATTTTAATAATGCATTAGTAGCCTAAATGTTGAAATGAACATTAACTAAGATGAATAAATAATGTAGAAGTATTGTTCATTCTTAGTTCATGTTAACTAAAGTAGTTAACTAATGTTAACTAATGAGCCTTATTGTAAAGTGTTACCAATTTTTCTTTTAAGATACTTTGATCAAAAGAAAGTTCAAAAGAACAGCATTTATTTGAACAAGAAATTATTTGTAACAACGTTTTGATCAATTGAATGCATCTTTGCTCAATAAAAGAAAAAATATCATTGACCCCAATCTTTTGAATGGTAGTGTACATGTGTGATATAAACATTATTTTAAAATAACATTAAACGTGAAATTACTACTTACTACTATCAACTAGCCCATGTCAAAAAAGCCCACCACCCAAATCTCTATCATATTTATACATAAATTAATATAAAAGTTATTTTTAAATTATGAATTAGAAGTAGTTAAATTATATATTAATATAAATGTTCATAAAAAATATATATTAAAAGTTGAGCAGAAAAACCAAACATCATCTTACATTACGGTAGGGTACAGGGCTCGCAAAATCGCTAGCCCGATGTCCTATTGTGTTTTCCAGTCGGGCTACCAAAATGTATCACCACTCTGCCCGACGGGCTATCTTAAATGCAGATCTCCCACGGGTCCTTAAAAACTCCTAAAGTGAGTTGTATCAAACTTAAGGCCATAAAAAGTTTTAAATACGTTAAATGGTATAA